GTCCTGTCCTGAGCTATTCATCTGAATGACAGCCACTTACGCTGCAGTTAAGTAATTCAAAAAGAGTGACCGCCCCTCATCCTACACCATGATGCAGAGACAGGCATGTTCTTTAATTCAAAATAACTGGTGAGGAGCAGACTTTTCCGTAGAGAATCAGGATTTAGATCAAATGGCTGAAGCAAAGTGAAAATTTAGACATGAAAAAATTCAAAGAAAGAAATAGAAGAAAAAACTAAAATTCTTTAAAATTTGTAATCTTAATACCTTTTCTTAAATTATAGTTCTACTTGAAACAGTCATTGAAAGATCAACTGTAATAGAGATAAGAAAATTATAATTCTATTTGATCCTTTTGCTTGATTATTCATCTTATGTACCCAGGTTAATCATTCTAGGACATAACATAAATAATATCAGAATGGGTAAGACATGGACTATTGAACCACTATGCCTCGGCCCACACCTGAGCTCTCCTTTCTCCTGTGAACCTCAGACAAAATAAACTAAGGTCACCTTTGGTCTAGCCTTTCTGTGCCTCAGTTTCTTGTCTGTAAAATGAAGATGATAATATCTACCATAGAATGTTGTGCAAAATTAAACAGTTTAATAGGGGGGTGGAGAAAGAAAATTGCCCGGCAAAGAAGGTAAACTTTCAATATGGGTTAGCTATCGTTGTCACCATTAGGATACTTTATATTTTATTTATTTATTTTCAGAGAGAGGGGAAGGGAAGGAGAAAGAGTGGGAGAGAAATATCATTGTGTGGTTGCCTCCCATGTGTCCCCCACTGGGAATTGGCCTGCAACCCAGGCATGTGCCCTGACTGGGAATCCTTTGCTTCACAGGCCCGCACTCAATCCACTGAGCTACACCAACCAGGGCACCATTAGGATACTTTACAGTCTCTTTGGGAACTGAGGAATCGTGCCTGATGCTTCAGTAAAACTGATTTATCTCTTACCTCAACTCTTTTACGAAGTCTTCTTTCTTTTTCTTGAATTTCATTTCTTAGTCGGCTAGGCTTCACCATAATTTTTTTAATGAGACCCCCTACGTGGTACATTCTCTGTGCATGTGGTTTTCAGATTAGCGGTTTTCACACGGGCACAGCCAACTTGGCTGTTCTGACACTAATGTAAAAGAGCCCTTTGCTCAGAACTTTTCCTGTAGGGACCGTTCAAAGTTGTTGGTTCCTGGTGGGTGTACTTCGAGGAGTTGGACTTTTTCTCACTCCTCCCCCCTCATTTTTCACTGGGAAGCTCCTGTGGCTAGTTGTCTACACCATAAAATATAATAATGTTCCCCCTTCTGCCTGGTTAAGCCTTCAGCTGTACTTCTGGTAAAACGCAGTGTGAAAACAGCTTCCCAAGGTCAATGCCAATGTGTTCTACTGTATATCCCGCTGCATATATAACCTTCGTTTTTTCCTTTTATTCTTACTTCTGTAGTACTTCACCAAAATATGTGGGTAGCATACTTTCTACGTTCTTGTATTTCTGAAAATAACTATACAGGACCCTCTTAATTCACTGATGCTTTAAATTTTATCAAGTTTTAGGTCCTAAATCAGTTTTCCTTGGGGATTTGTGAACAAGGTTTTGGCAGAGGATACTACAGATAATAGACTGATTCTCATTCTCCTATAAGCAAATTTTTTCTTTCTTTCTGAAGTTTTACCATGGCCCAGAGCAGACAGATAAACATTTAAGGCAGGCCTACTTAACTGTTTCTTTTTGTAAATTCCTTTACTATTTTATGCCTCAGTCTCTTTATCTATAAAATGATGATAATGACAGAATTTACTTTATAGACTATTGAAAATTCAATTAGTTAATACCTGTTACATGCTCTGAAATGTGCCTCACCATAGTAACCATTTGAAAACGTTAGCCATCATTCTCAGAATTTGCATGTTTGAAAATAACAACACACTTAATGTCATATTTCAAAAGTAGCTTGTTGGAAACAAAATTTTAACCCCACACCAAGTTACCTAGATTTTCACACTAATAACAACTACCTCATTGGTATTTATATAGGTTAAATTATCACATTCTCTTTCCTCCCGAATGAAATTTGCCTCACTTGGCCAATTAGCCACCCCAAACCTTACTGCTCGCTTATGCAAAACTGAATTGGGACGAAAGGTTTCTGCCCCATCCAGTGTACCCTGCAGCTGGTAGTCAGTGGCCAGATACTCAGACACATGGACTTCCTGTCATTCATTTATAATATGAACCAAGCAAATGTGACCAATCAAAACTAAGAGTCAAATATGATGGCAGGAATACCAGTAGACCATGTTCTCATACTTTTTCCAAACTATACCACCCACCTCTGCACCAGCCAGTTCCCACACAGCTATTATTGCCTTCAAGTTTAATAGTCAAGTACTGTTAATCAAAGATGCACCAAAAATCCCAGATGCTTTTAAATTAAGCACATTAATAACATTTAACTACGTCGCAAGAAATAAATGAATACATTTCTTTTCTCCTGAAAGAAGGCTGAGAAAGTAAATTAAATGTTTCCCATTTGACTAAAACATGAACTATCCATTAGCCTAATAGATTTCTTTACGTTATAACTCTGTGAAATAATATAAAAATATGTAAATGTACATACCAAAATAAAAAACTAAAGTTTGAAGTAAATTTGATTCAAAATAAGCCAACAAATGCCTGAGAACACCCAATGAATTATAAATTAGGGTAGTTATTATTGCTCAGAATACGTTAATAATTAAGCTAAAGTCATGCACTCTCTTCCCACATGTGCCTGTTTACTTGTTTGTTAGAGAGACGCAGGCAGAATCCCAAGTCACAGCTGCCTGGGAAGTGGGTGTGGGTAACGGAGGGGGGTACAAGCAGACGTTGGGAAGGTCCGTCCAATTCCATTACAATGGCAGGAAAACCGATTCTGAGCACATTCCCTACAAAGAGAGGGGCGGCAGCTTCATTTGTATTTTGGATCGGTGCTGAGCATGTGTCTCTGGGAGACAGATGCTTAATGACGGTTCTTTGTAATGTTAACAACGATGGAGAGAAGAAACATTTCAAAACTAAGTCCAGGCTTTCCAAAGCAGGTAATTTTAAGATGGTGAGACTTGTGAACAACACTACCAGTGCTTCAAATATTAGTTCCTGAACCTTTGGGGGCTTAAATAACAATGTACATATTAAAAGTTCTGATTTTCAAAAGCATCAGTAGCCTTGCTCTAGGATTTAACAACAGTTAATTATGGCTGTAATCACCACAATGTATAATATATCTGTGTATATAGATATATTTGTATATGTGTATGTATATATTTACATATATGTATGTATGTATGTATTTTACATTCTATGAGCTATACACATATACATAGATAAATACATGCAAAATATACACACTTCTATCTGAGATATCTTTCATTTATAGGCCAGGCAGAAAAAAATAATGGTAATTTCTACTTTAACAAATTTTCCACATTGTTTAGAAATCATTTGTTTTATATTTTGTAATTTTCTAGCAATGGAAGTATTGGTCTGTGTACACATGTATACAATTTTTAATCTTAAGTACTTTTCCCTAAGTAAAATGGAAAAAAACCTCCTAAATAATTCAAATAATCTCCTTACCTCAAAATTAAGAATTTTTAGTGACATTAAAAGGGAGGTCATTACTGTTAGTATTTCATATTTATGAAGTTAGATATGGACTAGGTGAGCAATAAAAAAACAATCTGTGAAAAGTGAAAAAACTTTTTAATAAGATGGCATGGTGACAATTTCAGAGGGATACTTTATGTTTAAAGACGTAAAATATCCTCAAATGTTTCTTTTTAAATATAAAAGTATGCCATGAAATATAGTTTAAGCCCACTTAATAGACATATTAGCCACATACTGATGCAAATGGGCTGTCATACCTGTATTTCCAAATTGAGACAATCACATGCCACATAACGACATTTAGTCAACTGCAAACCAAATATAATTTTTCAAGCCATTATAAATTATTATAATGGCCTAAAAAATTCCTATCATCTAGTGATGCCATAGCCAGTTAACATCATAGCATAACTCATTATTACTGTGATATTCACACAGTGATGAAATCACCTGACAGCAAGTTTCTCAGACCGTATCCAGTTGTAAACGGGGCATGAATGTATTTAAATCCATGTGGGAGAAATAGATAAAAAAAATGTACTTGAAAAGTAACTAAATAAAATTTAATATTAAAAAAAAATCCATGTATCTATAGCTCTACTCATAGCTAGTTCAGTTGTAAGAGTGTCTGAGCACATTCTTTTTTCAGTGCTTCCTAATTAGCTTGTTATCTGTCTCAGTAGGTCAAACCCAGGGCAGGGCACAACTACTCATAATGTGTAAGACTCCTACAAAGCAGAACATTATTCTACCTCATTTTTGGATATTCACATTATTTTTCTAGTTATGGATCTGCACGAATCCATACAGGCAGAGCTCCATTTCACGTGGCTTGCATTTTAATTGTCAAAGCAGGACCTTCCAAAAGAAGAAATAACCGTTTTCCTTGAGATCTACCCTGCTTTCTGCCTGCTTGCACATAACCATGTCACCCAGAGAAGGCACAGGCAGACCCCGTGACAGGCAGTGACAGCTTTCTCATGGCATTTCCACTTTGAAGACTAGAAAAACAAGGCACCTCCATGTCAGCGGTTTAAAGGAAAAATCCGTGTTTGACATCTGTAGCACGCAGGGCAAACTCATGTGTTGGTTGTTCACAGCATTGGGGAAAATGCCAGAGAAACTGTAAATATCAATACCACGCCACAGAAGTGCTTCCTTGCTTTTTCTGTAAGACTGAAGGATTCCACTTCTATTTCTATGGATGATCCTTCCCATTTCACAGTGAACGTCGATTGAATGACTGATTTTTATCTGATTATTAATTTAAAAGGCCTATAAGAATTTTTTAAACTATAATTAAATAAAACATAATAAAAATACTGATTTGTACAGTCTTACCAGGTGAAGATAAGGCATAGCAATGTAGATATTAAAATCAAAACTTGATTAAACATTGCAGACCCCGTGCGCTGGATGGCTCTATGCAGATCATTCTAAAACAAGACAGAAAAACGTATTTTAAATGTTGATAAGGATTAAACATTCATGAGTTCATTACATTTATTACTATGTATTACATTGCAACTATCTTGTGTCTACTCAGTACACATACTTTAAATGTATATGGTAGCATATTTTCATGTTTGCCTGGGTCAAAATAGATCTTACCAAAACGTTCATGTTATGAAGGCAATAGACTAGAAGGACCACCAAAGCATCAAATTTTAGTTATTCACTTGACAAACATCTGAAAACACCCCCAAAAAACATCCCCAAAAGCCCTCTGGAAGCATAATCTTTCATGGCCAATTTCAATTTTAAAAGATCAGAAAATAATATAGTCAATCAGGGAAAAAGTAAAAGTTAGGTCAGACTACTATCAAATCTTATTCCCTGAATCAGGAATTCCTTCAGACAATTTATCATTAAAAAAGTTGAATAGCCATTGAGCAAATATTTTTAAGTTTAATTTCATTACTGTTAACAGAATTGTGAACTCAAAATATATGTTTTTATCTTTGCAATTGAAAAAGACATTAAAAATAATAACACTCAGTGTTGTTAAAGATGCAAAAATGAGCACTCACTTTTATTACTGCTCATGCAATTTATTATCATTCTTGATGAAAATTTGGGAATTCACATCACAATTCACAAGTATGTCCTTAGTAGTTCACTCATTCATTTATTAAGTATTTACTCAATAACATAATTTAAAAAAATTAACTACATGAAAATAATAAAAAATGGAAATCAATGATTTGTTTATTTTTATTACAAAATTACATTTATTATATAAAATAATAAATGCTCATTACCATCAAAATAACTAAAATATGCAATATAAAAATAGTTAAGTAAATTGATCAGAACTATGTAATAGATTTAGATACATCCATTAAAATTGACTTGAAAAGGAATATTTAATGATATAGGAACTTGTTTACTCTATACTAGTATATGATAAAAATTCTAATTATAAAATTAAACATACAATATAATTTAATGTATGATATGTTTATGTGTTAATATAAAATATAAGGCATACATTATTAGTATTCAGTGTGATAGATTTGTAGGTTTTCAGAATTTTTACTTTCTAGGTTTCAGTTCATCTCAAATTTTTTGATAATAAACTGTTAAAGGTCTTAAAGTCAATGTAACAGGAGATAACTTCACCAACATAAATTCCCAAAGAGCCAGCATTTTCTCTTCCTCCACCACACATTTAACCAGAACTGTTACATTAACAAAACACTAAGTTGACTAGAACTTCACCTCTCAACCCTTGCTTTCTTTTAACACAGGTGTTAATAAGCAGAAAAACCAATGAAATTGAGCAACCAATGAAAGCATGAGAAGCAAAATCTAGAAATATTGCAATGGAAAATGAATCCTAAATTAGTGTTGCAAAGCCTTCCTGTTATTCTCCAGAACTGACCATTTCTCCCTTGGTTAGGTTATTTTTTCCAACAACAAACAACACAATTTAGCACAGAGGTTTATTTTTTTCCAGTGCATTCCTTTCATCAACAATTTAAGCAATGTCTATTTGGTGAATTTTTTTTTCTTTTTGAACAGTGAAGGCAGCTCAGTATTTCTGCAAACAACTCCACAGGCCACATTCGCCCACGGTTTGGCCAGGCATCTCCAGGAGATTCCAGAGGTCAATTAACATGGATGTTTAGAAATATTCATCCACTGATGAATTCTCAAATGTTATCCAAATATTACTTCTGGCCAAAACTTTTTGTCATAATTTCTGTTAAAAAAACTACTTAAAAGAGAAACAAGTCTACCTCCAGAAAAAAACATTTCATGGCCTTGTAGTAACATTAATAAGATTGAGCCCTCACTATGTTTATGTATATATGTACACGCATTCATATTTGTTTATGTATCTGTAATTTTATTTAGTTCTCACAACCAGCTTGTAGAGTGGGTACTTTGATTCTCTTTTGAAGATAAAGAAATTAAGTCACTTGGCTATTCTATCAGAGTGATTAGCACTTAGTGGACTTACTTTAACATGTATAGAATAAAAGACCAGATAGCAAATGTCTTACAGCTCACTGCTAAGCAAGTGCTGATCCCTATCATTAACATATTCTGTTCAGAGTTATAAATCTGTCCTTTCAAACAGGGTCAGCCTCGGGCACACCCTGAATTTGGCATCTTTGACTTTCTGATTTTGTTTATCCCTCTGAATATCCTATTCACAATCCAACCAAATCTGAAAAGATGACTTGTCATGAGGGTCCTCTACCTCCTATACAGGGTGTTATAAAGCCCCACAGATTTTTACAAAACATGAGCCCAGCAGAGTCAGGAACAGTTTGATGCCATGACTTCCTGAACCCTTAAAACCAGGGGTCCAGTTACACATGTATAGGTTATTTGTCTGAAAAAGTTATTTGTCTCCAGAAGACGACTCCTGGGACCAGTCCAAACAGCAGCTGGCTGTGGTGTGGTCATATTTAAAAAATCTAAATCATTTTGGTTCACCAGTTCAGAGGGTCTGAAAAGGGTAGTGACTTGGCCACGTGCGTGTTTTGCAAGTTCTCACACTATAAGGACACAGGCAGACTGGTCACGCAGGGTCATTAGCTTAGACGACTCCACAACATGTCACTTTAATTATCTGAAGGCATTTTACCAAAATTCTTTCATTTTTACAAACACTTAAATGATGCTATTTACTAAGATACTATATTCATTTAAAAGAAGTTAAAAATAAAACATTTAGATATTTAATTGGAACTCAATACATTCTAGCAGTATGAATTTATATTTTGCAGGGAAAAATAGAATGAAAAAGTAATGAGGCAAAGACGTCAACTCATTTTCTCTCTCTGGTTCATCTGAACACTGAAAGTAAGAAATAACAAAAGATGGAAGGGTATGTTTGCGTTTGCATATCGTTTTCATACTTACAATCATATTTTCCAAGGCATGTTTGGCAAGCCAGCAGTTTAGAAAGACTGGGACAAAGAGATTCCTTAAGGAAGGCCAAAATATCTGAAAAAAATAAATAACTACACTCTTATCTCAAAGCAAGGAATCATATCTGGCAGATTTAAAAGAAATGTAAAACAGAAAAATGTACTCAAAACAATATAACAATTTAAAATATGTGACAAATAATGAATCTCATATTATTAATAAAATGCAAGGAGCAGATATGATCTTTTCATTCATTGTCTCATTCTTAGGGAAAAATTCTTTGGAGAATTATTGTAGAAGCACAAAAAAAATAATAAGCTCTCACTGGACGTCAGATGTAACTATGCTAATTCTCCCATTAAATTTTTACTGTGACAGTTTAGAGTAGACATGGCCTCTTTCTTCTTTGCCATTTGAGGGGGAAAGCAGGACAAAGAAAGAAGCCCCCCCCTTCATAACATTGCCACTCACGCTCAGGAGACAGACATTCTAAGTGACGCTGGGGAACCATGTTTAATTGGAATTAAATTTACTTAGCCATTTCATCTAATTCCAGTTGCTCCTCTAGATAAATTACTCGAATTAAAATAATTGTCAGAAGTGAGCAACAGCTTCAAATGTCTTCTTATTTTCATAGTTTTCCAAATAAAACTCAAAGTGTTAGAAAGCATAGTCCCTGCAGACATTATTACAACCCTATCAAACAGAAATTAAAACCCAATTTTGTAGTGGAAACATGCACTTGAACAAAATCTTCGTGTCTTCATGAAACTGGTAAGCCATCAAGCTGATAAAGAAGCAAGTTGCTGGCTGTTGGCAACTTTCTTGTTAAAGAGAGAATTGGACCTAGTAAACCCTGTAGTTAAACTAGAGATGAATATATTCTCAGTCTGAGAAATGTTTACAAGTATGTGGTTCTACATGGTTTCTATATTTTTTAATTCCACAATATACACAAGAAATGGAGTCATTTCTAGTCTGTTTAGACAATACTGGTACTTGTTTAAATGGCTCTGCTGGACCATACATTTCTAAGATGCATCTCATTTTACCATTTTACTGAATCTCATTAGTGTTCATTTAATTTCACAATCCAGCTAACCAACAGATTTCACTGTTTATTTTCTGGTACTATGATTCTAACCAATACCCAACTTTATTGATCAGAACTAAATATTTTTATTAGCATTGAGATTTAAAGGCTTCACTGAAATCTAATGACAAAATCATTTTTCAAAAGATGATTTTAGGACTTACCGAGATAACGAAAGGAACTGCGTTAACTATTTCCAAGATGAAAGGTACCCGTAAAATCTGTTCCCAGATGTTCCCCTTTCAAGAAAGAATGAATAAAAATAAAAGTTAATTACACAAAATCCCATTAAAGAGAGAAAAAGACAGCACTCAGAATTTCCCTGAATCATACAAAGGTGTAGCAATGACTTTTAAAGATTATTTTTCTAAATGTAACTGTGCCCTCTGAATTTTGTGGTAAGTTTAAGAAGCAATTCAAATGTTGCAGCAATCCTTGAATATTGCATATAACACATTGTGATCATACCATAATATTTGATCAAAGAAAATTTACCTACGACAGGCTAATAAAACTTGTAGAATCCATAAAAAGTGACTATTATAATTTTTACTATAGTAAATATATTTGCATTGAGAAAGAGAAACAAAGTTGGATGTATCACACTACCTGATATCAAACTATACTACATGGCCACAGTAATCAAAACAGCATGGCACTGGCAGAACAGACACATAGCTCAATGGAACAGAATAGAAAGCCCCGAAATAAATACATGCCTTTATGGTCAATTAATATTTGACAAAGGAGACAAAAACATATAATGGTGTTGGGAAAACTGGACAGATACATGCAAAAAAAAATGAAACTAATCACCAACTTACACCATACACAAGAATAAACTCAAAATAGAATAAAGACTTCAATGTAAGTTGTTAAACCATAAAAAAAAACTTACAGGAAAATATAGGCAGTAAAATCTCAGGCATTTCTCAAAGCTTATTAAATAGATTCTAAACACACTATGTGTTAACAATGTTCATCAATATTAATATTGTTTTGATGGTAAAAAAAAACCCATAAATGAAGGGGATTTTAAAACCTACCAACCCATGTAATCAGGGCTGGCTACACAATTCAAGGGGCCTGGTGCAAAAGCAAATGCAGGGCTTCTTATTAACAACTTGTGAACAGCTGCCAGAAGCTGACATCAGAGCATTACACCAAGCCCAGGGCCCCCACAGCTGCAGAGAGGACACACCCAGGAAGTCCACCCTGATATACAGTCCTCATCACTGAAACTTTCTGGAGTGATGTCCAATGAAGCACAACTCAGAACTTTCTAAAGCAGTTTATCTTCGATGAAGAGATCTGCATATTAGGAAATCTGTTTGCAATCTGACTCCCTGTAATTTCCAATTCTTTTCAAACACTGCCTATAAACTTAAGACTTTCTTCATCTTCTTTCAGTCTCAAAGGCTTAAAACATTGCAGTGATGGAAAATTCCTGCACGCAGTGATCCAGGAATGTTCTAGAATTCCATCCGCTAAAATATTCAGCGACAGGCTTTTTTATCATTAGCTTGTCTCTCATCTCCAGACTGTACAAAAAAAAACAAAGGCAGGAAGTGCAGGTAGAAGAAACGGAAGCAGTGAGAACTAACTTCTCTGTGTGGAGTTAGTGCAGGGGCCAAGTGGCGTCTGCCAGCTCCTCAAGTTAAGTAAGAAGTGCTCAAGTGACCCACTTAGCTTGGCTCACACGGAGAGACCATGTAATATTGACACCTGTGCCCGAAACATCAGACATGAGGAGCCCACAGGTAGGAAGAATGCTGAGGTGTGAACAAAGCACCAAGTCAGGCCAGTTTTAAGACAAAGGGGCCTGTTCTTTGGGAGACACGTACAGACCCTAAAGAATCAAACCTGTGGTCACTTGAATAGGATGCGCATTTGAGAGGGCTTCGTTTGGGATTGAACTTGCTCTACATTTAGGATTCAAAAGTTGTCTAAGGAGTGTTGTCTTCAAACCCCTATGTTTTAAAAAGAAAGATCGATGTCTGCAAGACAAAGATTTCCCCCCAAAACAGATCATGGGGTGAAGCACATGCAGAAACTTGAACCAAAAATCAGTGATGAATGTGACCCCCATTCTGCTAACTTTCTCCCTTCTTGTCTACTTCTGTCCCCCCTGATGGCTCTCTTCTTCTTCCAACAACGATGATATATCAGCATCCCCACCAACATGAGCCCGAGCTTCTCCCTTGGGTATTTTTCCATACTTAATGGACTCACTCCCTTCACACATCGGTTGACTTCTTCAGTGTCTACGTTCATAATTTGTCTTGCATCGCATCCGTCTGTTCATTTCACCCAGCCAAACACTAACTCCCAGTTTTCCTTTACTGCAACGGTGTCTTCACTGAGCACTTGGCCCCCGTGTGATGTCTCTCTGAGCTGCGGGGCCCAGAAGCTCTGAACCAATAGCCCTAAAATTGCATTACTACTATAGAACTCCCACGTGCAACATCCTCCATCAATTCCCGGGGCACGTTACTGTCCAAAGCGCTCACAATATCATCCCAAACATTTGGCACCTATATTTCCCTAAATGCCCCATATTCTGGCCACACTTGAGTATTTATTATTCTCTTGATTTTATATGTGCATTCCTTCATGCCTCTCTTAATTCTATAAATCCCTATTGTCCTGTCTTCTCTCCTTTCATTAGTGAAATGACCGGATCAGGGGCTTTGCAGAATCCATCAAGGATTTTTTTTTTCATCCCGTGGCCTCACTGAGAACACCTGTTACTCTGCCTTCTGTTATTGTCTGTGCAATGTTTCCAACCCAGCCCCACTTCCAGACTGTAAACTCGTAGGGAAAAAACAAAGCAAAGCAAACAAAGCAAAGCACGCACAGTGAGGAGCTCTTTATCAAACAGAGGCTCTGTAAACTCTGGTTAAGTTGTGTTAGCCAGGCAGAGCCTTGCCAAAAATTAAGAGAATTCATTAAAACGGTTCCTAGCAGACATGGTTTTGTTCCCTGGGCGTTTTTTGTACATATCGGGGCAAGGGATCGAGAACAATAAAAGGCCAGACCACTGCATTTGCTTGACTCATACGAGCATGTACGTAATGGACAAATTAACCCGTAGGAATTAGTGAAGTCTGCTTCAGCCACCAAGGAAAACATTACTATATTACTAAGCTTTCTAAAAATCACATACTAGAGAGGTTCAAAATAATTAAAGTGCTTTAAGAAGGGCTTGCCTTCTCCCCAGAGTATGAATCATAAAGACAGGAAAGCCGGGGAAAAGCTCTTAATGTGTGCTGTCAGCAGAAAACTTCTAATGAAAATAGCTTACCTTATAACTGAGATAACCAAGTAGTATCGTTTCAAACAGACTTATCAAGGCCACTAAAACCTAAAATATAAATTTTAACTTAATGAGAAAATGTCATTAAAATAAAATAATATGTATTCAGGATTATACTACTATAGAGAACATACTGTATTCATGATTATGGCAATTTATAAAGTTAATGAATGTATAAATATATGCACACGTGTATCATATAGCTAGATATATATTTACATGAGATATGATACAGGGGGTATTACGAGGCACATTAACTCATATACGGGTGGCAGGTTGTAGGTTGTCCCCTGCACTTCAGCTTAGCTTTGGTTATTTCTAATACTCCTTAATAAGTCTTTTCTAATTTATTATCCCAAGTGAAAATGTGGGAGTAGCATAGTCAGACTGGCTACAGTTTGCGTGATATAGAAAGAACAGGTTTTTGCTCTGTGCATTCTTAACAGTCTCACACCCCTGCCTTCTCCCCACGCCCCCAAATAACACCCTCCGCCAGCAACACCACCCGAATCTGAGACCCAGTCACCAGAAACAGCAGTTCCCTGCAGAAAAGCACAGGAGCTCTGGGTTGGATATGGTCCATCCTGTTGCCTGCCTCACACGGAATGAAAGGGCCGCGTTTTTGAACACTTAACAAAATAGCCAAGTCAGCGTCTCAGCAGCCTTTCAGATTGTGTTTGAATGAACTTCACAACCCATTTCCGGTTTACAGCCGGAAAGGCTTGACCTGCCTCCTCCAAGCAACTTCCGCTTTTCTCTGTATTGCCTATTGTATGTATAATTCCACTACTGAACTAACCAAAGACAGTGATTGCAACAGAAGGAGGAACTAGAAAAGAGATCCAAACATTCCTGTCAGCCCTTTAGGATACAGAAATGGAACCAAAATCACAAGCCTAACTCAGAGGGCAAGTCTATTCGTTTGCAGATTTTAAAGTCTGGGACAGCCTGCGGGAGAAAGATGGATTCCCCTGGAGTTTCACATTTTGACTCCTTGGGAGTGAAAACTTTGATTTAGGTGAATTTTGAAATGTAAGGACAATTTAAAAACTTATGAATGCAAAGGAATATAAATAAAATATGTTCAAAAGTGCATACATCAGCTGCACATTGTCATGATAAAAAATTCGCACCTCTTAGATTTTCTTCACAAGTCTTCTGAATCATCCCTGCCTTTTCCTGGAGGTACGCATTGATAAAGGACCTCTACAGGGTTTTTAGCGTGAATTACTCAAACTCCCATTTTGGAAATGAGTGCTATTATTATTTGAAAACGTTACTAGGAGACAAAAGCTATGTGACTAGATCAACATGTACTTCAGAGCCATATGTAACTCTTTGTAAAAATATTAACTCGCTTTACATGTGCTCCTCTCTGAAGGATAATTTAGAGATTAAAAGAGTGCCTTTTTAGTGCACACTGAAATACGTGAAAAGAGTTATTTTTAAATTAACAACACTGTAATGAAAGTCAGTGTAAAGTGATGTAAAATGCAACTTGACTTCAGGAAAATATGAAATGTCCAGACATGGTCAAAACTTCAACTTTATAATTATAACCCTAGTGCACACGTCATTGAAATAACTCATTATCACCTATAAAATGCACAGAATTCACAATTGTCTTTGACTTTAAAAGACAAACCCAACAGTTGATTTCAAAGTGTTTTAAAGGTTGTTCATAAACAGAGATGCTTCAAATCATTTCATATCATTCCAAGTCCCTCTCTTAGAATAATTTGTACTTTTGAAAAATAACAGAAAATAAAACGCACTTGGAGGAGGGAGACAGAAGCGAGGATGGAAACTTGTACGAAGGCTGCTGGTGTGGAGTTCGACAGGAAGGGGAGGAGGAGACAGGATGCAGAGGACTCTGGGGAACGTGTCAGCAGTGAAACTCAGACTCGCTGTGCTTTCTCCTGTGGTCTTACTCCTTCCTCCAGACTTCCTAATCCAGGGCATGCTTTTTATTTGATTTACAAATTGTCTGCCTCAGCACCAAGCTCTTGCTATTGGAAATATGAGCCGTTCATTTGATTCTTGATTTATTGATTATTTATTGAGATTCTCACGTGTTCCAGAGACCAAGGGCATAGGGAAAAAAGCACACTTGGATACAAGCTTTTGATTCATTTTTCAAGGATTGCGTAACAGGAATTTGGAAAGCTGGTTAGAGGAATTGGTGGTGCTGAAAACACAGGCTGACGTGGGTTCTCTCCACACCCAGGACAGCGATCTGAGTCTAATCCTGACCATGAATTCTCACGACAGAAAGCAGGGCTCAAGCAAACATGAAGAAAGGATTGAATGTGTTTGTCTAAAATGTGCAGCACAACTAAACAAGCAATAAAACAAGCTCATTTTTAATACCAAGCATTTCTCTCTAATAATATTTCTCTGGGAAATAGGAATAAATCCAACAGTACAGGAATAAACAAAATTGTACGTGACCTGTAGGCCCCATAATGGCAGGCTCCTGTTCACCCAGAAGATACGAGACCTGTGAAAAGAATGACGAGATGTTACTTTTTTAAATGTGGGAAATGCATTCATTTAAACATTTTGATTGAAGTTAGAAATATTTAAATAATACTAGCATGAGAAGACAATAAAATATCTAAATTAGAAATACAAAAACATTATGTCCTCTCAGTTCTTTTGAATAATAGCCAGTTCTATTCCACAAAATAGTCTTTTTAATTTCATTTTCAGCCTCGTGTTAATAATAAAAAAAAGATAAAGAGGTTTTATTTAAAGAGTGGTTATAGAGGGTCCAAAATCCTCAAACCCTACTAATCAAATTCTCCATTGAAAAGTCACTTAAGGGTCTTCTATAAACCGTTAAGATTTTGTTCATTTTAAAGCTGTTAATACTGTGGCAGTACAAATTCAACAGGATTAATACTAGAGGTACAGCCAGTAACTCAGATTATAGACCACATTAATATTTCATATCTGGATTTATAGAAAATACTTAACATGCACAACAACACCTGTGACCAAGGATAGCATGGAACATTCCACAGGACAAGAATTGGCTGTCCTTAAATGTCTGTTAAAAATCATTTCATCCTTAGTGTCAAAAATTACTTATACTCTGCAAAAGACAGCATAACATCTCTGCCGTCTCACTAGCTATCCCGGTTCATTTTTGCACCCTGTCCTTATCTGAATTTTTTCGTGTCCTGTGGCTCATTCACTGCAACATGCTGCATTTGGGAAATGATTTAAATAATGATATTATGTTTCCCATAAATGCAAATAAAAACCCACAAAATCAAACACAACAATCGCAACAAAACCCACTCACTCTCCCCAGTTAGGAAATATGAGATTCCTTCCACAAAATATTAAGTATGTTCTTAAACCTTCAGGTCATTTTCTTTTTGGTAATATGTTAAGCAATGACAAAAAGCCATAAACTCTTGAAAATTCTTGTTTTAAATAGAATTACCGAACTTACAAGGACTATTCAATGAAACTACTTAGTATAATAAGTAGTTTAATACCCTGTAATTCCAGAATGTCATATCTACCCGAGTAATTGACATCTTCAGTTGCTCCAAACCAAACTAGTGATCTTTCCCCCCAAAACCTGGTCCTCCCAGTTTTCCACATCCCAATACATGGCACCAAATTCCACTGTGTTCATGTATGCAAAAACTTAGGCATTTTAGATACTTCCCACTACTGTGTTTGGAAATGCATAACTCAGTCCTCAAACCTTTTCGATTCTACCTACCAACTATCAGTAGAATTGATCTGCCTTTGTCCATCTCCATTCCCACAACCACCTTAATCCAAACTGTCACTTTCTGCATTTCTTTGGAACTGTTGCAAAAGCCTTCCCAGAGAAACACTATCCTTCCTTGTCTTCTACATTTTTCCTCGAATTTACAGTTACACCAATTCTTTCTCAATCCATTTTGCCCACATCGCCTCACTGTGTACTGACATCGCATTTTGGTTAAGATAAAGACCAAAACTCTTCCTTAAATTAAATCAATTGGGGTGACATTGGTTAATAAAATTATACAGGTTTCAAGTGTACAGTTCTATGATACATCATCTGCATATTGCATTATGTGTGCACCATCCAAAGTCAAATCTTCCAAAACTCTAAGCGTGGCATTCTGAGACTTATTCTACCATGACTTCTCCTCCCCATCTCAGCCCTTGACTTGCCCTCGGGAACTCAGTTCAACTCTCCCTCAGAAAAACCCTCTCTGAAGTTTCCACTTGATCGAAGTAGTCAATTAACGTCTAAGGTGACATCGCTCACTGCCCTTTGCTTCTATGCATCTCAGTTGTAACTTTAAGTTTATGTGTAAATCCATTTCTTGACTTGGTGTAATGAGTCAGTATACTCATTACACTTGCAGTGTAATACTTCAAGTTCTCACTATACTGCAAGTTCTGTAAAATGAAAGTGTGTCTTTTTAATGACCATTGTAATCCCATGGCTGTCTGTGGACACGAGTGTAGTGGACAATGCATCGATATAAACAAATGGATGGCTTCCATAAAGGCAAATATATGGGGATGAGTCCAGCAACACTGTCCTTTCCAAACACATATCACAGTGTCGCTGACATTTCAGAAATTAGACCAACCCTAGGTATGGAAGAGTGAAAGGCTATATACAGTTTTTGTAGATAGAAACATGGCATGCTACAAAAACTACTAAATAGTAAGAAAAGTCTATACTGATAGCTGAAAGATTAAAAATAAATTGCTAAACATGAGTTGCTCAGCACTTTCAGAGGGACACTGGAAATTAACATGGATTTACTAAAAGCTACTTTGATCAAATTGACAGTATTTTCCTTGGGATGTTCTTTTCATAGTTCTTAAAATAGCATGCAGTATTTAAATTTGAAAAAGACCTTGAGAAAATATTTTTTTAGACAAGGCTATGTAATGTAGAATAGCTCTCAGAATCCTTTAAAAAAGACATTTCTACAATCTCAAATATATACATTGCAATGTGAAGTGAGATCTCCAAAAGAAAGTCCTGTTTTTTACCCTTTAGTGAGCACTAAATTGGATAAATGCATAGAAGGAAATGTCTAAATTCTAATAAAAACCTAGTGCCCAAGCTGCCCTTTCTAAATCAAATTTATTGTGAAAAACAGTGTAGGACCAATCTGCGCATTGTTAGTTAATGTCCAGAACAAATGGGGAGTGAAATAGACGGGAAGCCAGACCATAATTTCCAATGAAACTTCACTCCCATTGACAAAAAGCACTAGGAGGAAAGAAAACCTGCACATGAATATTTATTGCAGCATTATTTATATCAGGAAAGGAACCGGCATCTACCTGAATACCCTGCAACAAGAAGACAAAAGTAGCCTCCTCATCATCAATAGTAAAAATATCCCAAATGAGAAAAAAGTCAATGACAAAGACAATGTGTATATATATATATAATATCATCCTATGTCAGTGTAAATGTATTCTATACACCTGTGCATTCAGAGAGAGAATTCACAAAAGATTAATCATCAAAATGTGCTTTCTTATGCACTGAGATTTTTAGATAACTTTTACCTCCTTTTCCTCACCATTGTAATAATCATGAAGCATTTATAAAATAATAAAAGATGTCACTTTTTAAAATTATAAAAATAAAAGTGAAACAGAAGCACACATAAAAGCAAAACTGATATCATCCAGTTATTGTGAATGAATCTGGGCCTAGTGCTACAACTCCTGTTTGAAGATTCATTAACACAACAGGAAGAGGCCTATTAACCAAAAAAGTCTCAGCAGATGTGGAGTATGGACAGTTAATAGGTGGAGCCTTCCTCATGGTCCATGCAGTACCTGTACCTATGGCCTTGCCTATAGGCAGGAAAACAGCTGCTGAAAATGACCAATCAGCTTTGGCAGCAGGGGTGGGGGTCAGGGGGTGAATGTGCCCCCCAGAAGAATAAAACATTGCGTAAACACCTGCAGGTAATAGGGTCAGCATGGAGGGCAGAATTCCTCAGGAAAGACCCGTGGGTCACAAACACAAGAACTCAGGTTGATAGCGTTCCAAAGCAAACAAATGCGAGCTTATATCTTATTAACACAAGTACGATCTAAACCAGGGAGGAAAGTTAGGAAACACTCCCACAGGTACCAGACACTGAGAACTGAGGACTAGGTGTGGTCCTAGATCCGAATCTCCAGGACATGCAAAATTCAAGATGAGTCCCACCACCGAAGTGACTGAGATACCAAAGTGTAGTAGACTCTTAACAATATATTAGAAAGGTTTTTCAGTAACTGAACCCTCTCAAAAAACACTGGGTAGATTCCATACTAGGCTAGGGAGGACCTGTCTGGGTGTTGGGGTGAGAATGAAGGGCTGAGTGTGCAAGTCTGGGTGGGGAGTGTCCTTGAGGGCCTTTCCATCAGACATCAGCTGGGGCAGTGGCCTTGGTCTATCAACACTCACTCTCCCAAAGTGGGCCTCTTTGAGTTCCTCTTGATTGGTCCCTACTACCCAAAGCAATTTACAGATTCAATGCAGTACCTATTAAAGTACCAATGGCATATTTCACAGACATAGAACAAACACTTCAAAAATTTATATGGAACCATAAATGACCCCGAATAGCAACTGCAATTTTGAGAAAGAAAAACAAAGTAGGAGATATCACAATACCTGATATCAAACTGTATTACAAGGCCACTGTAATCAAAACAGCTTGGTACTGGCATAAAAACAGGCACTTAGACCAATGGAACAGAACAGAGAGCCCAGAAATAAACCCAAGTCTCTACGGGCAATTAATATTTGACAAAGGGGGTAGTAACATAAAATGGAGTAAAAATAGCCTCTTCAACAAATGGTGTTGGGAGAACTGGACAGCTACGTGCAAAAAAATGAAACTCGAGCACCAACTTACACATACACCAAGATAAATTCAAGGTGGATAAAGGACTTGAATATAAGCCATGACACCATTAAAATCCTAGAGGAGAACATTGGCAGGAAAATCTCAGATATTTCACACAGCAACATTTTTATTGATATGTCCCCTAGAGCAAGGGACATAAAAGAAAAAATAAACAAATGGTATCTCATCAAAATAAAAAGCTTCTGCATGGCTAAAGAAAACAGTATTAAGATAAAAAGAGAACCAACTGTGTGGGAAAACATATTTTCCAATGATACTTCAGACGAAGGTTTAATCTCCAAAATATACAAAGAACTCACATGACTCTGCTCTAAGAAGACAAGCAACCCAATTAAAAAATGGGCAAAGGACTTGAACAGATACTTCTCCAAGGAGGACATACAGAGGATCCAGAGACGCATGAAAAGATGCTCAATATCGCTAGCCATCAGAGGGATGCAAATTAAAACCACAATGAGATACCACTTCACACTGGTCAGAATGGCCATCATAAACAAAGCAACAAACAACAAATGTTGGAGAGGTTGTGAGGAAAAGGGGACCCCAGTTCACTGTTGGTGGGATTGCAGACTGATACAACCATTAT